GAACGAGTGATCCAGCTGCATCACTGGGCACGTCTTCAACACGCTTACAGCTCGTCTTCAGTGTCTCGCTTGCTTCTGTCTTGCATGTAAAGAGTTGCACAACACGTTCTTTTCATGTTGGAAAAATCTACATTTTTCTCCCATGATTCCTCCCTTGGAAACAGAAAATTATTGATGAGATGTGTCATTACCAATTGGGACCAACTCACACGACCAACACCGACACATAATTGTCAGTGATGAGATGAAGCTATTGGCTTTGAAATAGGAGCACGGTGACGGGCAGGAGCTTATTTTTTTGTGCCATTACATTTATAATGTGTCTGAATCACTGGATTGTACGTGCCATCTACTGTACTGTTTTACCCACTGTGCTGCTGTTTTTGTAAAGTCCAGCTGAAATGTTTCTGCAGCCAAAGTTCAGTTTTTTGTTATTCCAACTTTACCTGCAGACTAGAATCTGAAGGATTTCTGCAGTTTGTTGTCAGATTATTTTGATGCAGATCGAGTCTTCTAATCAGGAGGTGACGTTGAATTATAACAGGAAAAAGAAGCTTCTGTGTCCTCTTCTCTTTTCCAAATTGAATATTTTGCCAAGCTAATTTTACATGAGATTTGAAGCTATTTAAAATGAAACAGCTGACCGGCTAACTCAGAACACAGGATGTGCTTGAATTTTTACTGACAGAGAAAAGAAAAGAGTAAAAAAGTAGTGTAGTGTTCCCAGCTTTGTGTCATAGCCTGTTACATGATATCAGCGACGGGCTCGGTCACTCAGACCCGTCAATAAACCTGGAAACCTCACAGGAATAACGTTGGTGAGGGGTGGTGCAGTTGGAGAACTACATCCTGCACTGACAACCTTGTGATTGCTTTAGTTAATGCGGTCCCCCGTAGTTTTTTTTGTTGTTGTTGTGAAATGCCAAGTTGCAAACGCTCCCTAACTAACCACTGAGTGATAGTAAAACTATCAGGAGTGCGACACAAACCCGAGAAACCAAGAGAAACTTCAAAGTAAAAGTTGTATTTTTTCAATGAAATGCACAACTTGTACTCTGACACCTGACGTTCTCTGTTTCAGGTCAACCAGAAACCTGATAGTTTCACGATTAGTTAGTGAGTGTTTGCAGACTAGTCTTCCATATGAACTACAGGTGACCATGGCAATCTTCTAGCAACCAAAGAAATGACAGGGTAGTTTTCAGTGCAGCACTCTTTGTGATTAACGTCACTGAGTGACAGCAGTCACCCACCACCAAGCACTCTCCAACCAGTTGGGGAATACTCATTCCTCCTTACCCGACGAGCCTGCAGGCCTGTGAGACTGGAGACGAATTAATGATGTAGTGAAATCGGAGCATGAGGTCACTGGATATCAAGCGCAATTACAGTAAACTTCCTGTCCAGCAATATTTGGTGTTACATTTGTTTGTAAGGCTGTTTACATCCACCAAACAAAGTTACAGGTCAAAGTCTGACACAAAAGGCTTTTTTTGTTTTGTTTTATCTGTTAGTGGCACAAAAGAGCTTCGGTACATTGATGTCACAACTGGTAGTAGGGACTCAAGAGCAAAGCGGTTTGACGTCTCCAAAAACAGTTTATTTACAACACCGGTGCACGATATATACAGATATATACAAAAAATCCAACTCCAGGGAATCACGGGGAAGCTCTCTCACACTCGCTCCCGTCTTCTCGCCCAAACTCACACACGCTCACACAGCAATGGGGAACCGGCCGGCAGGCACGGAGACCATGACAGTTGAGGCTTCATAAAGTCAAGATGGTTAGTTTTTTTCCCACCAATGCACATTTATTTGCACTTTGCTCAGATGCATTTAGAAAAGTAACAGAGCCGTGAAAGTGCAGCATCAAGAATTAAATACAGTGTGACTGAATATTTAAAAAAAATCTAAATATTTTGATGAGGAAGATTATAAGAAATCTGATTTTCTCAAAAGATGATGTCCATTCAGTCTTAAAGTGTGGTTGAGGATGTCATCACGTGGAAATCAGTGCTGACATCTTGTGCCGGTGGTTTGTTAGTCTTTACAGTGGGGACGCTAACCCTGCACCCAGTTCAGATCTTGATACCAAGCTAAGAGCACAACCAGTCTAGTCAAAAATATCTGACGTGTATCAAACTGAATAACTTGGTTACAAATGGGTTTTCTTTAAAATCACAAGAATACAGCGAGCGTCCGAATCGGTAAATCTGTTGACAGCTACATGTTCAAGTTGTAAACATCCAACAGCAGCAAACTGGAATGCAGCCGTCAAACATGAATGCTTCTCCTGAACTTTCCACAACTGATCCGTGTGCTGCAGAAAGATATTTATTTCAGTTGGACTTTATTCATTTTCTGTTTGTTTTTAATGATGCTCTGTCCAACATTTCCAATCAGTGATGATGAAATACATTTGTCATGTTGTTATGACATGTAGCATTGGACATGATGGATAAGTCCTACTGCTTCAGTTTAGTTTAGTTTTTGGTTATTTGAACGCTTTGGTCAGTTATACCCAGAAGCATCCGTGTTTAACGTTATGTTGGAGCTGCCTGCAGGCTGATCACTATGTTTGCATCCTTCCCTGTAGCGCAGGAGAACAAAACAAGTACCAAGGTGCAGCGTTATCGCTTGTAGCAGCATCGCGCTGTAGTTTTGTTTTTGAGCATTCTCTACAAATTTTCATCTCTACCTGCATTTAGAGGGGAGGGGAAGGCAAGCGGAAAAGACTTCAAGCAGATCTCGTGTAATTTCCACTGCAAATACGGCAAACATGGGAGGTGGGTCACGAGTGACGGTGTATGTGACGGCCGTTTGACGAGTCCAGACGGTGCCGTGAAGAGCCCTGCTCCCTGTCCACTCCCACCCACACCACCTCTATTGCCGTGTTGTTGATTGTGGTAAATGCTAGTGCCTTTGCTGTATTGTGAAACTGGATATTGATTGTACTGTTGTACCGACAGGGCCTGGGGATAGTCAGGCGCTCTATTTATTATTGTTGACTCAAATCGATCATATTTTTCTATGTAAGTGCTTTAAATAAATTTGCCCTTTTTATCACTTGGTCTGTATTTAGTTTTTCAGCATTCTTGACAAACACGACTCCGCTCTGCGTGAGGATGCAAATACTCCTCAAGCTCGCTAAAGTAGCATTAAATGAACAAACGCTGCAGCATTTGGATCCAAGGACGTCTTGGGAACCTCAGGAATTCAGAATATTTGCCAAGGTCAGTGGTTTTAAGCCGGCTGAATCTTCCATGTGTGTAATTGGCCTAGTGAAAATTCCAAATACAAACCAAATTGTTTTGGATGAATAGGTCCCCTGATGGCTCTCATCCCTTTTAATGCAAATTACAATACAGTAATTGGATTCAGAACTTTGCCTGCAGTTTGTTCAGAAGTGAATCATTTCTTAACAAATTGGGGTGAGAGAGTAGAAAAGCAAATGAATACACATTTAGAAAAGCATTTATGTTTTCATTCATATGTGTGTGTGTGTGTGTGTGTGTGTGTGTGTGAGAAGCCAGAGACAATACAAAATATTCTGAATATGAGGGAAAGAGTGGGCCATTTAAGCTTTTACAAATGCATCCAAAATATAGTAAAATGTAGCATAAGATGGAAATACATATAGTTACATACGTGTAGAATGCCCTTCTGCTTCTCTGCGTTACATCGTCAAATGCAGAGCAGGTCTTCATCTCATGATTAGCACATGACACATAGACGTAATATCGCTCAAGCTCCCATTTCACAGCAGGAGAACATCCACTTCACACCTCCAGTGTTCTTAGTAACAGCTTATCAGTTCTTAGTCAGCTTCCCTGCATGTAGGCTAACCAAGCTCATATGTGAGTGTAAGACTGTACAAGAACTTACTGGAAACCTCAAAGTACCTTTCATGCTTGTTTTTTACTGCAGTTATTTTAAAGCTTTTCAGTAAAATCACTGCATTAAAGTGATCTGTGACATTCCTCAAAGACAAGGGCAGAGCTTCTTTGATGGCATCCCATATGCATCAGAAGGATTATATAGGGAGGAGACGTGTGCAAAGACTTCTGTATTGAAATCTATTTCACACAACAGCACAGAAGCACAAATTCCACAGGACAAATCTTTTAAACCCTTTTACTGCTGCTGTGCTTTTAGAATGTCAACAGGAAATCGGTTTGTATCCCATTTTTAATAAGTAGAGCTCACTTGGAAGAACTGAATATGATTCCCTTTGATAGACCCCCCCACACACACACCTCTAGTGGTGCTGAGGATGCAGACTGAGGCTTGACTAGAGCTCTGTCTGAGGTGGAGATGGGGAGGAGGTGGATTGCGCGAAAAGAGTCCGAAAAGGAGAATGCGCACAGATTTAAAAGGCTTGATGTCGAGGATGATTGGCCCAAAGAAGGCGGGTGAGAAGGTTCA